GCACAAGCTGCCGCCTTCCACTGGAGCCAACCATCCTGAAGTTTGGAGGTCTGAGCCCACTCTCTCAGGACTCCTGACAGAGCCCTGGGGCCCAGCCTGGGACCCTGGGGTCCAAGGACTGTCCCCCATCTTCAGGCCTTATACCCACCTGTCACCTTCCCTTCCCTTAGCTTCCACACCCCTGCCAACCCTCTGCCCTGAGCTCTTTTACCTTTTCAGTCTAGAGACCATCCACAGAAGCCTTTTGTTCTATTTTGTCCCGGTGTTTGGAAGCAGTGTCTTGAACTGATTTCCTACCAATGCTACTCAAAATGCTTCAAATGGATTGCCCACCAGCCTGCCAAAGCAGGTTCATATAGCTCCTCATTCTGCAGAGAAAAAAGTTCTAGGCTCACTGGGTAGCCGTGGCTCAAGCCAGTAATCCTAGCTACTCAGAACACTGAGACCTGAGGATTATAGTTCAAAACCAGTCCAGGCAGAAACATCCACGAGACTCATATCCTTAATTAGTCACACACACACACACACACACAAAATCTGGAAGTGGAATGGTGGCTCAAGTGGAAGAGCGCTAGCCTTGAGGAAAAGAGCTCAGAGACAGCACCCAAGCCCTGAGTTCAAACCCCAGGACCAGCACACACACATACACACAAAAACCTGGAAATGGAGATACAGGTCAATTGGTAGAGTGCCAGCCTCCAGCCTTAAATGAAAGAGCCACAAGAGAACATGAGGGCCTAAGTCCAAGCCTTAGTACTAGTGTACGTGCGTGTGTGTGTGTGTGTGTGCATGCACACACACACGTACACACACACAATTTCGAGCTAGAACATGACAAAGGAGGAAGAGAAGAAGACCTCAGTTTGAGACCCAAGGCCAAATTCAATCTCAAGTCACAGAGATGATCAGAGATGGCTTCAGAGAGACTGAAGTACTTTGTTTTTCTCAGGGATTGTTCAAGTAAAATCTTGCTACAGTAAGTCATTGATTGGTGCTTGGCAAGTGCTCTGGTCCTTCCTGTATTCCTGAGAAGTGACTATAGGAGAGAGACAGACAGAGACAGAGACAGAGAGACAGAGAGAGAGAGAGACAGAGAGAATGGCTTAGAACAGAGACCATAGTTACAACACGAGGGAGGCTGTGATGCCTGGCCTTTATGCTGCTTGCAATTAATCTGTAGGCCAAGTAGGAGTTAGTGTTTCTCAACAGTACAGCAGTTTTTAAACACCTCTTATAATTTTCCCCTTCATGTTTGAAGTTTCCTCAATCCTAAGAGAATTAGGCTCAACATTTACAATAAATTGGTGACTTTCATTTAAGCCTAAAACTAGACACACCATTATAAAGTACAATACAGAGGTAGTAAAAGTCAAAGGACATCCAATTAAACTAATTGCATAGGAGATTCTCTTCTAGATGATTTCATGAGCATGGGCTACTAAAGACATGTTGGAGCAAGCATAGTCACTCCTGTCCCTAAATAGAAGGCACTAGATGAAACAATTTGTTTTCTAAAGCCCTAGAAGGGCTTTAATATCAGATAGTCATATAACACACACACACACACACACACACACACACACACACACACACACACACACACATGAATCCCTCCTTTAAATTTCTCAGGGTTTACTTATTTATTATTTATATTTTATTTTTTTGGAGGGCTGACAAGTGACTCCATTTGGATTCTGATCATTTCTCTTCTGGTCTCAACAGTTTTCCCTCAAAATATATTTGAGCTATTCTCTGCAGATTTCATCTGTTCACCAGGTTGTGGTTTTTCAGAGTTTTTTTTTTGTTTTGTTTTGTTTTGTTGGTCATGAACTCTGGGTCTGGGTGCTATGCCTCAGCTCTTCAGCTCAAGGCTAGCACTCTACCACTTGAGCCACAGCAACACTTTCGGCTTTTTCTGCTTATGTGTTGCTGAGGAATTGAACCCAGGGCCTCATGCATGCAAGGCAAGCACTCTACCACTGAGCCATCTTTCCAGCCCAGAGTTCTTTGTTGCTGGGATTCACTTTCCCCCACCCCCTATGAGCTGGGAAGAGGAAGGGGCAGTCCAGGTGGAAGTTGGTGCCAGTAAGACCCCATGGTCCATGTTTAAGCCAAGAAGAAATATAAACATTACTCTTGAATGGACTTACGTGGCATTTTTATTAAGTTGAATTCTGTCTGGCCTATAGATGATGTCCTCTTTTAGGCCTGGCTTCTTTACTGTTTCAAGCTCCCCTGTCTAGAAACAAATGGCCTAAACCCAGAATATATTACAACCTGAAAGAGCTCACACAGCAGACAAGTAAGACAACCACAATTTTAAATGTTCTAGGCAAAACAAATGGTGTATTTGGACAAGAAAGCAAGTTCCAGCTGTGCACTATAGAAGAGGACTTACCAAGCCAGGCTCACACGTGTAATCCTAGCTACTCAGGAGGCTGTGATCTGAGGGTCACAGTTCAAAGCCAGCCTGGGCAGGAAAGTCCATGAGACTCTTATCTCCAATTAGCCACCAGAAAACCGGAAGTGGCACTGTGGCTCCAGTGGTAGAGCACTCACGTTGAGCTGAAGAGCTGAAGGACAGAGCCCAGACACAGAGTTCAAGTCCCACGGCTGACATAGGGGAAAAAAAAGAGAACTAACCAAGGACCCCACTCAAATAGCATCAGATTCCCTGGTTTCTCTGCTTCACCAAATGATGGTAAAAAAGCAGCTGGTGGTGGCCAAAGTAGAAAGATAGAGGAAAAGATCCTTGGCATTCAAGTAATTCCAACAGCTTGGGAAATCCAGTCCATCTTTCCCCTCCACCCAGGGTCAACTGCTATAAGCCCTAGCCCCCAAAGGGTGCATTTCCTCCTTGCTGGCTTGCCAAAGCTGAAATCAGAGTTTGGGATCCCAGACCCAAGCTCCAGGACTTCCCTGTCTTAGGACCAACCACTCCCCTCCACATGCCAAATAAAGAAGTATAGTGAGTAGCGATGCATTCATTTTGTAGCTCTGGCAGCCAAGGGAAGCAGCCCTTCCCCACCCCTCTATCCCCTTTTTCAGCTGTCTCTTAGGACAGAGACATTTGCCTTACTTTTAAATTGGGAGCACTGGGGGCAGGGCTGAGAGGTATGCATACTTAACACTGTCCAAATCACAAGCCAGGTCAGAAGTGGTCAGAGATGACCTCAGGGGTTCTGAAAGTCTTTTTCTCTTCACGAGGATTTGCTCAGGTCAAGTCTGGCTACCGGCTACCATGAGTCACTTGTGCCTGGCAAGTACTCTGGTCTCTCCTATATTTCAAGATGGCTCGGGCTAGGAAGGTGGCTCAGTGGTAGAGCGCTTGCCTTGCATGCATGAGACCCTGGGTTCGATTCCTCAGCACCACATAAGCAGAAAAAGCCAGAAGTGGAGCTGTGGCTCAAGTGGTAGAGTGCTAATCTTGAGCTGAAGAGCTCAGGGACAGTGTCCAGGCCCAGAGTTCAGGCCCCATGACTGACAAAAAAAAAAAAAAAGATGGCTGGAAAGTGACTGCTGGAGGGGAGGAGGAGTGTAAGGAGGGAGGGAGAGAGAGAGAGACAGAGAGAGAGCAAGCAAAGACCATAGATACTACCTGGGAGATGCATTGATGTCTTGCTTTTATCCAGCTTTCAATTAATCCGTAGGCCCAAGTAAGGATTCAGGTTTTTTTGTTTGTTTGTTTTGTTGGTGGTGGGGCTTGAACTCTGGGCCTGAGGGCTGTCCCTCAGCTCTTCAGCTCAAGGCTAGAGCTCTAACACTTGAGCTACAGCACCACTTCCGGTTTTCTGGCAGTTTATTGGAGATAAGAGTTTCATGGACTTTCCTACCCAGGCTGGCTTTGAACTGTGATCCTCAGATCTCAGCTCCCGAGTAGCAGGATTCAGTTTATCTCAGAAAGAAAAAAAAAAATTACGAATCAGTTTTTAAGTCCATCTTACTCCCCCAGTCACTTCTCAGCCCCTGGGCTGAGACATCATCTCAAGATGTTATTACCCCAGGACCTCAGTGCTTGCTACCCCCTTAGCCAAGCATTCTCCTCATTTGCCTAGCTACCATAGTCCCCCAAACAAGCCCATGACTCCCCAGCTCTCCCACAGAGAGCTTCCCACATTCATAACCTTACCTTATACATTTCTGCAACTAGCCAGTGAGCACAGCCAAGACCAAGCCTGCCTGGTTTATGGTGGTCAGCTCCAGCTGCCCACCATCCTCCTTTTTCACTCAAGGCTGGTGTTCTACTAATTGAGCCACAGCTCCACTTCTGGCTTTTTGCTGCTTGAAAATTGGAGAGAAGAATCTCACAGACTTTCCTGCTGGGGGGGGGGGGCGGTTGGCTTTGAACTTGGGTCCTCAGATCTCAACCTCCTGAGCAGCTAAGATGACAGGAGTGAGCCACAGGGGCCCCAGGGCAGCAACCCCTTCCACTCAGTCCCTTTGATTCCCCTTCAAGCCCCAGCTTCGGGTCAGAGGGTCTCAGGGGGGCACAAAGGAGCTGCTCTGTGACCTTAGAGTGTGTAGCCGGCTGAGGTCCAGGGATGACTGAGGACGCTGGAAGATCACAGGGGACACGGTGCCCCCGCCCCGTCCCCTCCCCCTCTGTCACCAACCCTCCCCTGGGAGTCCCTTGTCCCCCAGCCTTAACTGTCGCCTTCTGCGTGGTCCCCACTCTGGGGCTCCTATCCACCCTTCACAGCCCCTACCGGTTCTGCAAGCTCTAGCTGTAATTCTGCCCTGAAGATGCTGGCCTTGGAGAAACCCGGATCTCTGGAGGGGGGAAAAGGGGAAGGGGAAAGAAGGGGAGCGGAGGGGTGCAGGCAGGGACCCCGTGGGGGGTGTGGAGAAGGAAGGGGTGCTCACCCCCCCCCCGCACCCGCGTGCCCCTGGAGTGGGCGGGAGGCCCCGCCCCGCAGCCTGCGCCCTCCCCCGGGCGTTTCCTGCCCCCACCCCGCCCCTCCGCCGTATTTAAGGCGCCCGCGGCCGCCGGCCCGGGCCGAGGTCCAGCTGGGCTCCCGCGGGCGCCGCTCAGGCCTTCGTCCAGGCAGGCACGCGGTGAGTTGGGAAGAGCGGGGCACCCCCGGCGGCCCTGGGGCTGCGGGACACCGGGGAGACCCGGGCCGGCCCAGCCGCGCTCACCTCCCCGGCCTGGAGCCAGGATCCCTGCTGAGCCCGCTGCCTTCCGGTTCCATCCTTCAAGTTGTGACCTCGCCGATTCCCCAGCTAGTAAGAGGGAGACAGGATTCGAACCTGGGCTTGGGTCCACAGCCTGGCTTTCCAATGACAGCTCCCGCATCCCCTCCCTTCTCCCTGGCTTCCTCCTCCTATCCCTTCTGGGAACTTGGTGGCCTCTGCTGCCCCCTGCAAGGCCAGGTCTTCTCAGGAGACTAGAGTTGGCCTGCAGCTGCTTGGGAGGTGCAGAGGGCCTGTGGACTCAGCAGCACCTCTCCTCACCCCCAGCTTAAGTGACAGGTGCGCTTTACAACCCACAGACGGCCGGGTGGGGCGTCAATCCCCTCCCGAGTGCCTCCTCCCTGAGATCAGTCATTAGAGAGAAGTATTGGAGGGGTGGGAGTTGCACGGTTCTGAGGTCTGAGGCCATTTTAAAAGCCCTGCAAATAAAACACCACTACACCAGGGTCTGTCCGACCTCAGAGAAAAGGGAGGCAAGGCTTGCCACAGCTGTGCGACCTTGGATAGCTCCCCAAATTCCCCTTTCCTCAAATTCCCCGTTCCTATATAGGCAAAGGACCCATGGGTTCCAGGCTGACCTCCTGCACTGAGGTCATGCTGGGACTCTAACTGAGGACAAGAAGGCACAGACAGGTGAGAGACAGGGACTCTTAACTCATATTAAGACAAGCCCATGGGGAGGGGGGCAGCTTAGCACCAGCTGGGCACCATTGGCTCCAGCCTGTAATTCTAGCTACTCAGGAAGCTGATATCTGAGGATCACAGTTTGAAGCCAGCCCAAGTAGACAAATCCAGAAAGATTCTTATCTCTAACTAGTAAAATGCCAGAAATGGAGATGTGGTTCACAGGGTAGAGCACTAGCCGTATGCAAATAGCCAAGTGAGTGTGAGGCAGGCGTGCGTGCACACACACACACACACACACACACACACACACACACACACACACACACAGCTTGGCCTCCATGCCCCAAGCTATCTGATTGGGGCTTCAGTCAGCCTGGGTCTTTTAGCAGGTAGAAGGGGAGGGGGCTCCTCAGGACTTGCTGCTGGGACCCCCCCCGTGATACTTAGCTTCCCTGCTGACTTCCTGCTTCTGTCTCCCTGCAGAGGGAGGCCTGGGAGCCATGGGTGACTGGAGCCTCCTGGAAAAGCTGCTGGACCAGGTCCAGGAGCACTCCACAGTGGTGGGCAAGATCTGGCTGACCGTGCTCTTCATCTTCCGAATCCTCATTCTGGGCCTGGCTGGCGAGTCGGTTTGGGGCGATGAGCGGTCTGATTTTGAGTGTAACACTATCCAGCCGGGCTGCACCAACGTGTGTTACGACCAGGCTTTCCCAATCTCCCACATCCGCTACTGGGTGCTACAGTTCCTCTTCGTCAGTACGCCCACTTTGATCTACCTGGGCCATGTCCTCTACCTCTCTCGGCTAGAGGAGAAACTGAGGCAGAAGGAGGGGGAGCTGCGGGCTCTGCCATCGAAAGACCCACACGTGGATCGGGCCCTGGCATCTATAGAGCGGCAGATCGCTAAGATCTCGGTCAGGGAAGATGGACGCCTGCGAATCCGTGGGGCACTGATGGGCAGCTACATGGTCAGCGTGGTGTGCAAGAGTGTGTTTGAGGCCGGCTTTCTCTATGGCCAGTGGTGCCTCTACGGCTGGATCATGCAGCCGTTGTATGTGTGCCACCGTGTGCCCTGCCCCCACTCCGTGGACTGCTATGTCTCTCGCCCCACGGAGAAAACCATCTTTATCATCTTCATGCTGGTGATGGGTCTCATCTCCCTGGTACTCAACCTGTTGGAGCTGGCACACCTGCTACGCCACTACATCCGGCGGGGGCTAAGGCTCTGGCACAGCAAGGAGGAGCCCACAGCGCAGGACCCATCCTCGCACCCCTACCCTGACCAGGTCTTCTTCTACCTCCCCATGGGCGAGGGGCCCTCCTCTCCACCATGCCCTACCTACAACGGGCTCTCATCCACGGAGCAAAACTGGGCCAACTTGACCACGGAGGAGAGGCTGGCCTCTTCCAAGGCCCCCCTCTTCCTCGACCCACCCCCGCAGTGCATGGGGAAGTCCCCCAGTGGTCCCAGCGGCAGCATTTCTAAGATGCAGTATGTTTAGCAGCCGGGGCGTATGTCACTCAAGAGCGGGGTCCTGAGAAGTCTGGTGACCTTAGCTGACCCCTCCTAGGAAGCTCTGCAGGGGTGACTGGACTCTGTGTAGATGATTGGCTGGCGACTGCCTCATCACAGGTTCTGGATCCTGGCCCTCCCTGGTTGACCAGAGGGCACTTGAGGATTCCGCCCCAGGAAGTGCCTTTGTCCCAGGCACTGATGGAGCCAGCTCCAGTGTTCTTGGCCAAGGGTGTTACAGACCCGGTGGCTTATTCCTCCTGATCCAGAGGAACCCAGAGTCAACTTATCCCATCCCCTGAAAGAGTCTCCTCCGTTGGCCGTCCTCACATCCTCTCCTCACAGGAAGAGAGGCTGGTGCAGGCTGCTGGGTCGGCCTGGCTGGCGCAGGTAGGACAGGCAGCCAGAAGTGTCCCAAGACAGGTGCCTTGTTTCTATCATTACTCCCTTGTTCTGCTGTTTGTGCTTCCAAAATAAACAGGACTTGATCTCGGGCCAGGTGTGTGTGGATGCTGTCCCATGCTTTGTTCCAGGGGTGGGGTGGTACTTTTTATCCAGGCCTTCCCCCTAGTCTTCGGTCCTGCTCAATCTGTCTTTGGTCTCTGCAGCCTGAGCCCTAAGCATTCCACCTTTTGAAATAGCCCAGCCACTGGCCTCTTTGCATCCCCACTGCACCGTGACCTTTTCCATCCTGCCCGTCTACTGCCCCACTATGTTACCAATGTATTGTACTTCCTGATTGGACACCCTGCTCTCCAGGTGTGTCTGCAGCCACCATAGGCTAACTGGATGTCTCTGTACCCATCCTGCCTCATCCTGGGCCCCTTGGGATTTTGGAAGGGAGGCTTAGGGTTGGGTCCTTCCTACCGTGGCTCTTTCTAGTCCACCAGAAGGAGCAGCTCAAGTGTGTACAAACCTTTAAGCACTGGTAGACTTGGAGAAAGTAGAATCTTGGTGCAGAAGAAAGTATAAAATAGATTGGCACCAGAGGGTCCTGAAAGAAATGCTGCCTCCAGCATTTACCAGTCATGGGTCTGGAGGCCATGAGTCATGGTTCTCTCCTCTCCAAAACACAACATCTGCGGGGCTGGGAAGGGGCTCAGTGGTAGAGCGCTTGCCTTGCATGCCTGAGGCCCTGGGTTTGATTCCTCAGCACCACATAAGCAAAAAGAAAAAAGCCGGAAGTGGCACTGTGGCTCAAGTGGTAGAGCGCTAGCCTTGAGCTGAAGAGCTGAGGGACAGCGCCCAGGCCCAGAGTTCAGGCACACGACCGGACCCAAAACAAAAAACAAAAAAACCCCACAACATCTGGCACCTCAGAGACACGGTGACTGACTATATCTGGCTAGTAATCATCAAGCAGTAAAATTCAGCCCACTCTTTCCAGCTAGGCCTGGAACATAGGTCACTCCTCCTCCAGGAGTTCCCCCATAATTTCTCCAGCCAATGACTCCTTCTTCTCAGGATCTGGGCAGCTACTCAATACCTCAATCTCAGTGGGTTTCTAAGTATGGTCAGAGAGACACTTTTCTTCCCCAGAAGCCCAGCCTTGCATTAGTTCTGAGTATGAAGTGAAGGACTAGATTGGACACGGGGTAGTTCACATGTTGGAAGGGGGGACCCTAGGAGGCTGAGATGCCCCAGGCAGGGTGAAGGCCAGAGGCGATGGTCTTTGAGCCAGATCTACCTGAGGGCCCTGGGATCCCATTTCTGCTATCTATCACCTACGTCCTACCTCAGAAAGGAGGTTTAAGTGTAAGAGGTGAGCATCCTAACCTTCAAAGCTCACTTACTTTGAACTTAGTTTTGGGGCTAGGGTCAGGCCAAACTCATGACTTGGGCTTTGGCAGAGCTGGGGCTGGAATCTAGACTGGTAGCCATACAAACATGGGGCAAGTGGCTGGGGGCTGAGGGGTGAGGAGGAGGAGTGACCTATGTTCCAGGCCTAGCTGGAAAGAGTGGGCCTGGGTGCTGTCCCTCAGCACTTCAGCTCAAAGCTAGCGATCTACCACTTGAGCCACAGCACCACTTCCGGCTTTTTTCTTTTTGCTTATGTGGTGCTGAGGAATCAAACCCAGGGCCTCATGCACGCAAGGCAAGCCCTCTACCACTGAGCCATCTTCCCAGCCTCAGCGCTCTAATTCTTTGAGCCAGTTTTCTGGTGACTTATTGGAGATGAGAGTCTCATAGACTTTCCTACCTGGGCTGGCTTTGAACCTCAGATCTCAGCCTCCTGAGTTGCTAGGATTATAGGCATAAGCCACCAGCACCAGCACCAGGCTGAGTTTGGGTCTTCCTTGTAGCAGCTCTGGAAACAGACACTGCCCCTCGCCTACACCATCTGGTCCTAGGCCACACACCAAATTCAGCATGGCTGGGAAAGTCCATATGTCTGCTTTTACAGTTCTTGGTTACAAATCCAGGACCTGGTGTCTGAAAAGCTGGTTCCAGCTGCATGAGGGTTACTATCGCCTATAATCCTAGCTACTCAAGAGGCTGAGATCTGAGAATCACAGTTCAAAACTAACTTAGGCAGGACAATCTGAGATTCTTATCTCCAAGTAAACATCAAAAAGCCAGAAACAGAGCTGTGGATCAAGTGGGAGAGTGTTAGCGTTGAGCATAAAAGTTCAGGAACAGTGCCCAGGCCCTGAGTTCAAGCCCCAGGACCAGAAAAAAAAATCATCTTCTAGAGTAGGAAAAATAGGCATAGGGTTATATGAAGTATACTGGGAATTTTGCTAACTACAAGCTCATTTTATTTGTGACCCATGACAGCATGTGAACATCACAGGCCATACATAAAGCCAAGCTGGACAGTACCTAAATTTCTTCCCAATATAATGTGCTAGCTCACAGTCAGCTCTAGATTCCTGACCCCTAGCACCCTGGTGGGGGGGGGGGGGGCTCTTTATTTCCTTGCCATACCTTAACCTGACCATGGGCATTTGGAGGAAGAGGAATCCATCACCCAACTGCCCCAACTGCTTTCTCATGGTTAAGCATCTCCCTCCAGCCTTGGTTCTGATCCTAGGAGCCACATGATACTCAGCTATGTGACCTGCCACAAAACACTGCAGCCATAGGCAGGCAGCTAGTGGGCCTGAGCACCTACCCGCCCCTCTCACCCAGCTCAGAGTGCTCTGACCTGGGGGCAACTGGTTTACTTTCCTCCCAACACGCGCCTCCCTCCCCTGTAGGCCAGATGTGCTATTCCAGGTGATCAGAATCCAGACTATCACCTCTGGCCCCTAAACGTAAGTCTACTAATACAACCAATGATGACATCAACTTTTCTACTCTCTTCTCTTTTTCACACATGGATTTTTTTTTCTTTCAGATTTTAAAGGGAGTGTCTGATCAATTACATTAGACAAGGAGGCCCCATGAGCTAGGGCTCACATCTGTTAAATGTTCAGAGGTCATTCCCCCCTGTCTCTGTCTATACTTATTTAAATAAAATCTGAGGAAGTGGAGGTCTGACTCAAATGGTAGAGCACCAGCCTTGAACATAACAGCCAAGTGAGAGCAGTGAGGTCAAGCCCTAGTAATGGTATAAATTAATTATAAACAAAAGTGTGTCTACAATTTTTTTCTCTCTCTCATTTTACATTACCTCACACACCCTCTCCTCCATATTGCTAAGTATCTTTGCAAACAACACTCTGGGGCTTTACAATAAGGCTTTACTGTTAACTACTTAGCCATGACCCAATACTGGATTTCTGTAATGTTTAAAAACAGTGGCCTTGGGAGTGGCGCTGTGGCTCAAGCGGTAGAGTGCTCACCTTCAGCTGAAGAGTGCAGGGACAGTGCAGGCCCAGAGTCAAGCCCCGCAACCAACAACAACAACAAAAAAATAAAAAATAAAAACAGTGGTCTTCTACAACAAACTGCTGTGATGTGGAAAGATGTTTTACAAAATGCTATTTCCTTAAAAGAAAGAGATTCCAAGAAGTAAAAATTATTGGGTCAAAAGGTATTCAATTTTAAGTTGAAAGAAATTTAGGGGCTTTTTAAAATTCCTGCTTGTGAAAGTGATTCATTGTTGATGATCCAGAAACATAGAAAAGCACAAGGAAATTACAAGAAGGCACCAAACACCTCCTAGGAGAGTGGAGGTGGAGCAGTGAACACAGAAGAGGAACACTGACCCAGCCCCATCCTCCATCCAGGCAGGAGCAATAGCCCCCCAGCCCAGTGAAGAAATGGAAGCTTACCCTCTAAAAGAGGATGAAACAGAGAGTCTGGGATGGGGAAACAAAATGTACATAAGTATAAGTGCACCATAAAGAAAAATCAGGCTTTCATGGCCCTGTCTCTGTATGCTAGGGATTGAACAGAGCATTCCAGGCAAGCTCTCTAACCATTAAGCTGTAGCACCAAACTGAGTGAGCCTTTGTTAAATACAAACACACAATTGAAGGTCATGGACATTTAAGAAAACACTAAAGAAACTGAAATAAGGGCTGGGAAGGGGGCTCAGTGGTAGAGCACTTGCCTTGCATGCATGAGGCCCTGGGTTCAATTCCTCAGCACCACATAAACAAAAAGAAAAAAGCCGGAAGTGGCGCTGTGGCTCAAGTGGTAGAGCGCTAGCCTTGAGCTGAAGAGCTGAGGGACAGTGCCCAGGCCCAGAGTTCAGGCCTCACGACCAGACCCAAAAAAAAAAAAGAAAAGAAACTGAAATAAGTAGAATAAAACTTTCCAGAGGAAGGAGAGATTTTGCATGGAGAATAAAACTTTTTAAATTACTTTGTTCAGAGAAATAAAAAGACATGGCTCCAAGAAAAACAAAACAACATGTAGTTGACTAAAAACCATATAGTAACTGAAATTGCTTACCCAAAGACAGGAACAAGACAGTGTGTCCACTTTCCCTGTTCTAATTCAGTATGGTTCTAGAATGCCTTACCAGAGCAATTAAGGCAATAAAAAAAAATAGATTCAAATTGGGAAAGAAAAAGACAAATAATATTCATTTGTGGATAATATGATCCATTTGTGGATGATATGATACGTTAACAGACTTTATAGACTTCACCAAAAGACTATGAGAGGTGAGGAATACCTTCAGAAACATAGCAGGATATAAATCAGCCCTCTAAAACCAGAGCTTTTCAGTATAGCAACAATAAACAGGCTGAAAAAGAAAATCTAGAAAGCAGTCCCATTCACAATAGCCTCAAAACCAATAAAATATCTGTGCATTCACTTAACCAAGGAAGTAAAAGACCTCATGAAAACTATAAAACCTTGATGAAAGAAATTAAAGAAGACATCAAAAAAGGAAAGACTCCCTCCCTCAAATCAATATTGTGAAAACAGCTATCCTGTCAAAAGCAATCCACAGATTCAACACAATACCAAACAAAGTCCTAATGTTACTCTTCACATAAATAGAAAACTCAATCCAAACATTCACATGGAAGCAGAAGAGACCCCAAATAGCAAAGGCAATTCTGAGTACAAAGAGTAACGCTAGAAGTATCACAATA